GTATTATGATTTATTTATTACATTTTATGTGGAGTGAATAAATAAAAGTATATTTACGGTGGCCCCTCGAGACAAAACACGTAAAAACACAACAGAAGTGCTCCAGGATGCTGGGCGCAGTGTTGAGCTTTTGTTAACTAGTGGTTACACAAGCCAGCAAGTACCAACAACCGGATTTGGTGTGTGGTAGTAACAGGTAAATTAACATTTTTTTTAAAAATTATTTGAATATATATGAGTGTTTGTGTATAAATACACAAACAACACACATATGCTTTCAATTGTGTAATTTAAGTGAGCTAGGTAGCTCTGCTTTGAAGTTCAGTTAACTCTAGAAATGTGTTTTGGAGTTTGTACGTGCTCCAAAACACCGCATATATTTATATATAAATAAAACCACTTTTTTTTTTTAACATTAGTAATTCCTTTTGTGCATAATTTTATATTATTGTTAATAATAAATAAATTAAAGCAACAAAACAACCTGAAGAGCCGGTTGGGAGCCGAAAGAGCTGGTTCTCTAAAAAGAGCCAGAAATCCCCTCACCACCGTGCTGGGGTCTGCATACACTCAGCTTTAACGTCAGTCTGGGTTCATGGCTGGCTTACCATTAGCATGCTGTCTGCACAGAGGTTGGCTGCAGACATTTCCTTCATGGATTCAGTTTGAATGTCACCATCGTGCTCTCGTAACATCCACGCTGTAGACTGCGCCATTAATTTACTCCTCCAGCTCACAAAGTGAAATCAGCTGATTGTAGCAGGACGGAAAACTTTTTTTTTTTTTTGTTTTTGTCTTTCCATCCACAGGAGTGCCGGTAGCTGAAGTAACAACTGTAACTGTAATGAGATTACTGCATTTAGTACAGTACAATGTGTTACATTACTGTGTTACTGAAAAATGTGATGTGATTACAGTAACACGGTACAGGCCGGAAACAGTGCACGTGTCAATTCAATTCAACTTTATTTACACAGCGCCAAATCACAACAGCGGTCGCCTCAAGGCGCTTTATATTGTACAGTAGATCCTACAATAATAGATACAGAGAAAAACCCAGCAATCATATGACCCCCTATGAGCAGCACTTTGGCGACAGTGGGAAGGAAAAACTCCCTTTTAACAGGAAGAAACCTCCAGCAGAACCAGGCTCAGGGAGGGGCGGGGCCATCTGCTGTGATTGGTTGGGGTGAGAGAAGGAAGACAGGATAAAGACATGCTGTGGAAGAGAGACAGAGGTTAATAACAGATATGATTCAGTGCAGAGAGGTCTGTTAACACATAGTGAGTGAAGAAGAAACACCCAGTGCATCATGGGAATCCCCGGCAGCCTACATCTATTGCAGCATAACTAAGGGAGGATTCAGGGTCACCTGGTCCAGCCCTAACTATATGCTTTAGCAAAAAGGAAAGTTTGAAGCCTAATCTTGAAAGTAGAGATAGTGTCTGTCTCCTGAATCCAAACTGGAAGCTGGTTCCACAGAAGAGGGGCCTGAAAACTGAAGGCTCTGCCTCCCATTCTACTTTTAAATACTCTAGTGTCCATAAGTTTGTGGTAGAGGCGCGTGGATCGCTCCAAACACCAATAGCAGCTGTGGTACTGATATCTGATTCATAATTGCAATATAAGATCGACACTTTATTTCTATCCTCCAAGTTCAGTATGTGGCCCAGCTAAATATATTATCTCTTTGGAAATGAGAAGATAAACTTCAACCATGCTCTAAACATCTGAAGCTTTTTGTGTTGTCATGTCTTTTGATTTGCCGCCTACGGCACATTCAAACATCACGCAACAGGCACATTTACATCCCTGCTGTCCAAAAAAACCCCACTTTCAAAATACATGCAAGTAAAACTGACAGTGAAATTACAAGTTGATGATTCATCTCATAAATCACGACACAGTGCTCTCAGCTACATCAGCTGCCTTCACAAGTTACAAATATCGGTATCAGAATTGGGATTGGCAGCACCGGCCTGTATTTACCCACATGGAAAAGATATTTATAAATCTTATAAAGTTTGTATCTGTCCTGTGTGAAACTTGTATGAAAAGCATACAAGAGTGAAAACAGATATAAGATCCTTTGAAAAATTATATAAATGCAACGTGTATGATTTGGATACTAAAACAACATATGAAAGTAATGAAAGTGGCCACTTTCATGAGTAAATCATATAAGCCTGATATGATTCACTATATGAATGAGTTTTTACTCTTTCTTTTCCATACTTGGTATCAGATCGATATTAAAATTTGCAGGATTGCACAGCAGTTTGCAGTACCTGAGCATCTAGCTAGCCCTACAGAAGAGGCGAGAACATAAAGGGAGTGAAGTTTAAGTGTCGGGTAATTTGAAATGGAGCGTTTCTATCAGCTCAACAAACATCAGCAAACACAAACTGTGTGTGCAGTTTGTCTCACAGTGTGCTGCAGCTAAAGGTCCAGCTGCTGTATTTGACAGGGAGAGAAAAGACGGAGAGCTACGTCCACTCAGAGGTGGAGACAGATAAGAAAGAAGGACAGGAGAGGACGAAGGGAGCTTAGAGTTAAAGGAAGGATGCTCTTTAAACTGGAAATTTAAAGATGCCACGTTCCTGCAAAACAAACAAAGCTATGCTAACTTTGTGTTATTCAAATGTTCCATGAAAATCCTGTTTAGTATTTCAATGCAGGATAAACATGTGGTGGATTCAGAGTACAGTCACACACAGTGCCTGTGGTGCTCGTGGTCCCAGGCAGGTAACAACAGGTGTAGCAGAGTTTATCAGAGAGCTGAATCCACTGTGACCCCTGACTGTGCTTTACTGTGGAGGTGTGGAGGTGAAGTCACCCTCCACCATCAGGGCAACACAATCGTGTCCTACACAACATGCTGAGTACATTCATTACAATTAGAAATACTAACAAGCTCAAGGTTCAGTTACTTGTATACAAACACGGTTAGTAGCAGAGTACTTTTTCACTTTTACTTGAGTACAGGAGTTTCATTACTTCACCTTTTACTGGAGTACTTTTAAACACAGGTATCTGTACTTTTACTTAAGTAAAGAAAGTCTCCGCGCTGAGCAGCTCGGCCTGTCTGTAGGTGTGAGGAGCTCCATCAGGGTGGATGAACGAACAGCACCGTCCACATACTTCTGCACAACTTGAAACTTCTTCTTCTCTGGTTTAATTGTTGTTTTCACGCTGTGACGTCACGTTAGAGCCGCCGCAGCGTTGAAAAAGCTCAGTCCTTCATCCTGAGCTCTCATCATCGTCATGATGTTCAGCCCCTCCTCTCCAGGTCTGTGGCTGAAGGTGACGTGAGTCACTCGGATCACCTTCCAGGTAGCCTCGTCACCTGCTTCTCATTCCGCTGCTTCGTCACGGTGACGTCAGCACGCAGGACGTGAGGGGGCTTTAAAGGAGGAGGGGGGGGCCGGGATTCCTGAGGATTACCCGTCATGCCCCGCGGGTAAAGATGGCGACAGCTGAGCAGGGCAGCGGATCAACTTTCTTGGAGCGGCTCTGAGCGGATTTCCTTCCGCGGACGGAGCGTCTTAGCCGGCCTCAACCCGACCCACTGCCCGGAGCTCCAGCGCGGACTTCGGCGCTGCTGTCCGGCCTCGGATCGGTCCGGAGCCCCCTCCCTTGGCTCTCCTGCTCCTCCGGAGGAGCGGAGCGGAGCTCGGACAAAGTTTCCTCTCCTCCCCGGGACCGAGCGGCGCGGACGGGGCCTCAGGTAAGTTCGCGCCGGGCGGGGTGGGGGTATCCCTGGTGCGGGTCTTCATGACGAGCCGCGCGGCTCGCGGAGCGCGGAACTGGGCCATG